AATGCGCAATCAAGACGTGCTGTTGAATTAGACTATGTACAGTTATTTTCAATAACATCTATGTGTAGGCCATGTGTGGGAGAGAATTTCTTTCATTATAATTTAGTATTTGCTAAGAGCAATCTGCAGCATAGGGATTAAACTGTGAGACTTACTTTTTTTTTCTTCACCAACATGTGGGTGAATCTTGAAAAATTTAAGCTTTTTTATTTTTGTGAGGAATGAGTGGGAGGAAAAATATGACTCAATATTTTGCTTCATAGATAAAGACGTCATGGCTGAGTTTTGAAGGTTTTTAGTTGATATTTAGATAATTCCTTTATTTCTAATCTTGTCTTTTTAATAAAGGAAAGCTTCTGCCATTTACAATTTAACTAAATAAGGTATGAATACTGTATTTATTAAAGATACTTTAATACCTTCACTTCTCTTTCTAAAGAATTTTAAAGCCACTTTTATTCGTGTTATTCATTTAAATTTTAGCCCAACCAGTCCTTGAATAACACAGCAATGTAAAACCAGTATATGCAACAAGGGTTTGGGCTAATTTCTCTGCTATATAACCTTTGAAAACTGAAAGGTTAGCTTTGAAACTAAATTACAAGTAAGGGGAAATTGCCATCAGAGAACTTTGTTGACATTATTGGCTCATATCTCGCACCTCAGTAACACATCATTTAAAAAATAATATTAGCCTTGTCCCAAACTGTTTTACTTCCTTGGCTTCAGCTTGTGAGAAGGAAAAACAATCCAAAACTCAATCCAAACTTTTTTCATACTTAAAACCTGATTTCAGAGGGTCTAAGCCAGTGATGGCAAACCTTTTAGAGACCGAGTTCCCAAAAACTGGCCCTGCCCCCGCTCCACCCCCGCCCTGCCCCCATCCCCCGCCCCGCCTGCCCGTAGGGCCACTCACTGCCTCCAGGGCCCGCCACATATCGCCCAGGCAGCCCTGCAGCGCTATGGAGGTCACACCCTCTGCCCGCACCCTGTAGCATCAACTGTGCATGATGGGGTGTGAGGGCAGAGTCTTGTCTACGCTGCCTATCTGCCATGTCTTTGGCTGTGCTGCTCCGGGTGGGCCACACTCAGGGGCAATTCTCCTTTAGGGGGCCTGCTGGAGAGGAGGGGGTCACGGGGGGAGGCAAGCCTGGGGCAATGGCACGTGTGCCCACAGAGATGGCTCTGAGTGCCGCCTCTGGCATCTGTGCCATAGGTTCACCACCACCATTATTAATGCAACAAGGGGGCATATGTATGAAGTTTGCTTACTTGAAGATTTGTTTTCATGACATATTAATTATTAATTATTACCCTTGATTAACTAACACACCTATTTCAATTTCCATATTATCTTCCTCACAGAAGAGTTGAGAGCAGTTAACAAAAGAATAATGAAAGCCATCATAAAACAATAAAATAAAAGTGGTTCAAAACAACCATAAACATATGAAAATACTATTTTCTTTGTAAAAAACAAAAACAAAAATGACAATCAAAATATGGATTGGGTCCAAAGTACTTGTTGTTCTGTAAATGTCAGGATGAACAGATATGTCAGTTGTTTTCTATAAGAAGAAAGCATGGGGCAGCTGAACTCTTCAGGAGACAATGTTCCCTGATATCAGGCTGTAAATTGCTTATAAATTGTTTAAATAAGTAAATAAAATAGGATGCTGTCAGTGAGAATGCTCTGTTGCTAACCTATCCCATGAACTAAGCCCCTCAACTGATCTTTATGAGGCAATATCCTCACTTCATAAAATGTTCATAAAAATGGCTCAGCGATTAAATACAGTGGTGAACTCCCATTACATGGCCCAGCTCCTGCCCACCTAGCAGTCTGAAAGCATGCAAATGTGAGTAGATAAATAGGTACCATTTAGTGGGAAGATAACAGTGTTCAGTGTGCCTCAGTGTATAGTTATGCTGGTTACATGAGCATAGAAATGTCTTTAGACAACTCAGGCTCCCTCAAACTAAGATACGAAGATGAGCACTGTTTCATTATGTTACTTACGTTTCATTATTTCATATAATGTACTCTAGGATGGGAGAAAACAGTCCTGACCTTCTTCTAGAGCCAAGATTGCCTACCCTTGTTCTAAGACATCCTTTCAGTTATTTGAAGAATATTATTGCAGCCTCCCTCAGCTGTCTTTTTTAAAGCTAGACATGCCTAGCACTTTTAACCTCTCTTCACTTAGATTCTAGTCCATTCATCATTCTCATTGCCCATGTCTGAATCTTTCCAATTTTTATTAAATGCAAAGCATGGTCTCCATAACTGGACACAGGACTCCAATTGGAGTGTAATCAATGTAGTATGAATCATTGGCTCACAGTCAGTTTACAATAAGCTGTATTTCAAGATCTTTTTCCCATGTGCTATTACCAAGCCAAGTATCTCCCATCTCATAATCAACCATTTATTTATGTATTTGTTTGTTTGTTTCATTCATTCATTCTGAAGAACTTTGCTAATTACCTCAGTTAAATTTCATTATGTGTTCTTGAGTGCATCAAGATAATTTTGAAATCTATTTTTGTTATGTGTATAATGTATCCCCAATTTTGTATTATTTGCAAATTTGATAAGCAATTTTTATTTCTCATTACTAATGTATTAATGAAAATATCAAAGAGTACAGGATCCAAGGTTGATTCTTATACCTCATTTGATATTGTCCTCTGATTTGATGAAAAAACATTAATAAACAGTCTTTGGTTATGATTTCTGTGTATCAATTTGTTATTTTAGCTACCTGACACCTAATCAGCATGTCATGAGGTACTTTGTCAAATGTTTTGTTGAAAGCCAAGATTTATTATATTTTCAATGAACCACAGTATGTAAATCTGACAAGATTTGTTCTTGAAAAATTTAGATAGACTTCTACCAATTCTCACATTGTTTCCAAAGAGTTTATAGATCAATCTCTTTAAGTTCCAGGATTTTCCAAAATATCAATGGCAGACTAATTGGTCTGTAACTTGTTAGTTTCCCCCTTTTCTCCAGATACCTGGTATGTCACTAGTACTATAATTTATGAACAATGATACATAAAGTACCAATGAAACCACCAGCTAATTCCTTCAGTACTCTAAAATACAACAATCCCTGTCCATATTTCTATCAGTCCCAAGGTTTAATCTTGTTCTTTCATCCTGCCATTAACATCCCTGGTATAACTTCACTTTTTGTGGGAAAAGATTAAACCAAAACAGCTCTGTATTTTGTTATCAGTTAGCATCTTGCAATGTTCATTGCATATCTGCTTTACTGATTATTTTCATTTGGAACATATCTAAAGAAGCCCAGAACCAACTCTACAATTCTAGTCAATCTATATGCATCTTTTTTGTTCCTTGGTCTCCTTTCTGTCCCTTCTCTGTTTTTGTTTTCACATCTCCACTAGCTTTTTACTATATACTTTTTTCAGTGGGGTAGTGGTGGTGGTAGCAGTGGGACTGAGGAGAAAATCCAGTGTATTTTTAAATGAGGGTTGTGCCTTAACATGTGCAAAATAAAAAAAAAGCTGTCATCTTGGATATCTATAAACTGGAGTAACAAACTGTTGCAACTTTGAAGTCTGTTTTCTTGTAGCAGTCTTTGGAATAGTGTCTCCCTAGAGATCTCTACTGCTACCACATTATTGATTTTTCACAAATTGTTAAAATCTTGGTTACTCTCCCAGGCCTTGGGTTAGGATGGTCACTGAGCCCTCTTGGGATTTTGGTCTCTTTTGGTCTCTCTGTGTTATAGGATCAGGTTTCTGTTGTTATATTTCTTCTTCTTTGATACACATTGCTTTCCTTTAAATGCTTTTTTCATGAGAAACCACTCAGAGTCATTGGGGAGTTGGGCAATCTCAAAATAGAAATATTATATTGAACCTTTTGGTCTGCATGACACAGTAAACCATAAATGTCATTTAACAATGTGCAATTGGATAAAACTGCAGTTCTCATAAGATCATTACATGAGTCTTATAATTGGCATGTAGTAGAAAAACCAGAGAGCTATAGTGGACGGTTTTATACTTTTTAAGATTTAAAAAACGGTTAAATCCAGATGAAATACACTTGCTTTTAATCATTGCAAAATCTGGCTCAGGGATTTTGGAAAGTGTTGTGCTCTTTCTGAATGATCGGATTTGTTGATGCACCCTAATTTTTATCTCTACAGAGTTCTATCATATGGAAAAGATGAAATATACACCTCACTTTTGTCAATATCTGAGCACACACTCAGTACCTACATTTTTTTCAGTATCCATGAAATCCACTCGCTGGCACACAGGGTCTACCTTCTAGATCAGGTTTGCACAATATGTGGACTACCAAGTAGTCTTGTGCAAGGTGATTGCACTTTTAAAAAAATAATCCATTGCTGCCAAACTTCACAGCCACCAGGAAAAGGGGCACTGCTGTCATTTTCACAACTACTTCCGTTCTGAAAGATACACTGTCTCTAGGTCTTATGGACCTTGCTAGCTCCAATGCTTCCGCCATATCACTAAACACTTGGTACACCAGGATTCCTTTGTGACCCACAATTATTTTGGGCACCAATCTTGCCTTTCTCCCTCTATGAATTGTGCAGGCCTACTTATAAACTTTTAATTATCCCATTTTACTTTGTTTGTAGCAATCGTAGGTTTTTATTCATGTTTTGTTATTTAAATGTGATCCTAATGGTAGATCTTAATTACATTTGTTTACATAACAGTATTAACAATCTGATTTTAAGCCTCACCAAAGTGATGTATTTTTGATAACTGATATAGTTTTCTTCGTTTGTAATCTGTGGTGTTTTATTTATTCTGTTTGTCATGTCCTAATATTTGTTTCTGTTTATTACATTATATTTTTTCTATTACATTACATAGATCATCACCCACTTGTTCTTAAGCTGTTTTTGGATCTTCAAGCATCAAGAACTTCACCTGCACAACCAAATTTACTTTTTCCACCTTCAATTACATTCATTTCTACTTAATTTGGCAACATTATTCAAATACAGGTTATGTCATTTCTAATTATAAAGAACTTTCAGTTGATACATTAATCAAAACATATACAAAGCACATTAGAACTTCACAATCACATATTAAAATATCTACCATATACTTTGGGAGACATTTAGTCTGAAAGAATAAGTTGTTGTGCAGTCTTCAGGACTACACAAAACTATTACTTGAGAGTATGATAACATTAAAGGGGAAGGTGTACTGTATGTGTGTGTTAATGTGTCTGAAGGAAAGGAAAAATCCCAGATGAAGCCTGAACTATCTATAATTCAGTCAGGAAAGTTCTGAGTAAAGGTAAATTGTCAACAGGTTTGTAAAATAATGGTGCTGTATGGATTTCAGAACAGAGAGAATTCCAGAGGACAAGTGCCAAACAATGACAATGCCAGCTGAGGTCTCATCTACCAGTGATCATAAGGTCCACCTATAATTGTTCACAAGATGATATTGTCAACTGGACACACAAGCACGATACAACCTTATTATCTTAAAAATCAACTGATGCTCTAGCTTTGCAACTAAGATGACAGATATCATTATCCCAAGGCATCTAGAGGCTTGTACAGCAAAAGCATTTTGAACTTGACTTAGTAGCCAATTGCTATGTTGTTTTTTTTAAAAAAGCACCAGAATGACATACTGAAAAACTAGTTCAACATCTAAGGCCAAAATACAACTTTCATGGAAGAGCTCTAGTAGCTTTAAAGAAGAATGATAGAGAATATGTTCATATGGGGCATCTGCTTGCATTGCTTAATCTGATTGCTTCTTCTAGGCATACTGAATTTCCCATCAAATAGTATGGCTTCCTTCCTTGTTCTCTTAATGATTCCTAAAGATTAAACTTAATTTGGACACAGGATGCATGCTACTTTTGGTTTATGGAACGTTAACTGATCATTGATAAGCCAGGCCAGAAACAGAATTTGTTGTGTTCAGATGACATGCTTAAGGGTTATAAAACATAGGTGGAACTAAATATGTTTCATTCCTTAGCCATCTTATTATAATAGTAGACATGTAAATGTGAGCAACAGCCTATTTAGATGTGCTGATACAATACAGTCAATCCTGCCTGTGGGTAGAATATTCATCCATGTATCATCACTATTCACAGGTTTTACAAGTTTTTGTAGTATTATGAAACATGCAACACCTGCTTAATTAGAAATGAGGCAAGGTATCTGATCATAAAAAATTAAGCAAGGAAGAGCTACTAGTAAGAGTTAAAAGTGGGTAAAGAAACATATTTGTCTGGAAAAGTACTCTTGTCCCATGGAGTTAAACCCAACTGAATTCAGTGAAATTTATTTCTGAAATTATTTCCAAAGTCTGAAACACAACTCTTGCAAAAGATAAAGTGGGATCCAACATTTACATAAAAATTAAATTCTCAGAATAAAAATACAACCATTTTGAATTTCCACTAAAATTTCTACTACAAAATCCCTTCTTATTACACAGCTTGACACAGAAATTTGTCAAAAATTTGTAAATGGTAGCCAGAGACATTTGCTCCATTGCATATTCCAGATGAACCAAAGGGTGAGATGATATGTATGGCATCTAGGCATTCAAATTTAGTACATATCTGTAGCAGCTGCACTGGCAGCCTACCAGGTGCACAAATGCTATTTTTAATTACCATAAAATGGAGCAGATTGCAGCTGGCCTTATTGAATAGCAGGTTTTGGTTTATGAGATGGTGAGTTCCTTGCAGCTGGGACTTGTCACACTGCAAAGAGGACTGGTCTCAGAGGCAGGATCAGGCTGTCAGTCACCATTTAAAATGGCAGAACACTCTTAGAGATTTTTTCTTAACTGAACAATACAACAAGTGCAAGAACCACCATTTCACTGAACAAGAAGCTGGTTTAAATGAACTTTAGAAATCAAGTACCCTGCAAGTTCTGGTCTCAACAGTGCCATCCTTCTTCACAGCTCACAGATTAATATATTGATACCTATGACAACTCCAGAGTTTTCTTTTTCTGCTCCTGAATCCTGAGGGGGAAAATCAATAACTTTTCCTTTAAAAATAAGAAAGTGATAACTTGAGGCTATCTATGAAACCTATAATAATATTTGCAGGCATTATAGACATTTCTAGAACAAAGTATATCCAGCAAAATAAGCCAGAAAGATGTATTAGCCAGAATGACCTAACTTTGCCCACTGAATATTCATACTCTATGGCTGGATATAAAGCTTATAAAGAATTTCCTTGTGACTTTAGGGTTTCCATATTTGTGCTGCAAAAAAATACAGACAATCACTACATAGTAGCAAAGATATGCAGAAAACTTTTAATTATTATCTATTAGTCATCTGGATTTTTGCAGCATTGCTGATAGCACTAATGTAAGTCCATTCTTCATAATTTTGTTCTGACAGGCATAGCAAGGTAGGATTTACATTTTGAACAGTTATCATATTAAAAGCCTTTAGCTCAACTTTCTATGCTTTTACAATTGAAATTTCAATGCTGGCAAAGTTCACAAAGCAGGATAATAGCTCATTTAGGACATTCAAAGTTTCCCAAAGCATTATATTAAACTTTTTATGAAAGGTCTTTGCTTTAATTTAAAGGGATATCTCCTTTTATTCATGTTCACAATACAGTCATTCATTGTAAAATATTTAAAATAAAGAGGCTTTATTTGCAAAGATATTTACTTAGAAGTAAATCTCACCGAAATCTATAGGCCTAAAGGTGTTAAGGTCATCAATCATATGTTACTTTAAAATTATCATATTGTTCCTAATATCAATTGTCCCTTATTTTGAAGCATTGGTATTTATACTTAAATATCATTTTATAATATGCAATGGATTAGTTCCTCCATTTGTTTTTCTTCAGAATATATTTCTAAAAAGCTCAGACAAGGTGTCCCTTTAAATCTGTAGTACAAAATTGACTGGAAATTTTAAATTTCACCCTCGCTCTTTATCTAATGCTTCAAATCCTCTCACCTGCAGTTAAGAGACCGCGGCATAAAACTACAATGGCAAATGTAACATTGAGGCGCTCAATGTTAAAGCAGCATCTCCAGAATTCCTTAAAAATATTGACGAGACGGGGAAACCCCATCCAAATTGTGTAGCAACCTATCTTACGGGCAGTGAAAGTGAAAGGACAGATAAAATAAATACTGTAGTGGGTTAAAAAAAAACCGTTTGGCTAGAAGGCAGCCCGCAACACTAGCGGAACCTATTTACAACTCAGTTGTTAGGGATTGTCTTTCGGCTCAATTCTGAGTGAAAAGTAACCGACGCGGGAAATACGTTTATGCTCGCTCAGCTATGCTGTCAGAGATCTTGCAGCCTCCCGAGACCGAAGAAACAAAGTCAAGAGCGCAATTTCCGTATAGCGCTCTCTTCTGCCCGTCCTCGCTCAGTTGCATAAGAGGGAGGGAGCGACCGACGCTGACAGTGCCTGCTTTTTTTTTTTTCTCCCCATTTTCTATGTCCTCGCGGCACCTTCCTTCCCGCCTCACGTGACGACTTTCAAGCAGGACGAGGCGGAATGGGGCGGAGTCAGCATGTGCCAGAGACTTCATTATCCGTTTGTTCCAGCGAGTTGGAGCCCCGCCCACCAAAAAAAGGAAAAAAACCCAGAAGAGAGGGGGAGAGGGTTGTGTGATGACACGTGCTCTTCTCTGCTGTCTGTTTAAGTCCGAAAAAGAGTTACTGTACACACTTCCGGCAACGGTACACGCGCCCCTTCTTTCACGCAATCCCCCCTCTTCTTTTTTCGCGCGCGTCTCTTAGAGCCGAAAAAGACGCACGAAACCTTCTACGTCTCAGAGGTGTTTCCCAGCATCTCGCCCTCTTCGGCTCCCCCGCACCCGTCGCCGTCAGTGTCATTCCCCACCGCTATATGGTGTCTTTAGAGCGCATGCTCCAAGATGTACCTTACGTGACGGTTCCTTTTCATCGCGCGTGCCCTCGCCGTTTGTTCGCTGGCCAGGAAGAAGGGGCGGCCGCGCGCGTTCAATGTGGGAGACTGGGGCGCGCGTGTGCGCGCGCGTCAGGGCCGGCGTTCCGCACGCGCGCTGTTGTTATTGGTGCTGCCGACTTGACTGGCTGGGCCGGCGGCGGCTGTTGGTTGGGGCTCGTAGTGGTGGGGAGGGGGAGGAGAAGGCGGAGGGGGGGCGCGAGAAGGGAAAGCAGGGTGGCTCAGGCAGTCACTCAAGAGAGTGAGCGAGTTCTTTAAAGATGGCCGGAACGGCGGCGGCGAGCACGACCCCTGTGTATTGCGTGTGCCGGGAACCCTACGATGTGAACCGCTTCATGATCGAGTGCGACATATGCAAGGACTGGTTCCATGGCAGGTAAAGGGCTGGCTGGCAGCCACGCGTCCTTTTTCGGGGGAGACGATAACAAAACAAAAACGTCCCACTTTCTAAGGGGGAGACCTTCTGTGGGCGCCGAGGGGAAAACAACGAACAACGGAGGACAATGAGGAAGAGGCAGCTCAGGGCTTTCAGCTAACCAGGAAGCAGCAGCGTTTAAGCAGCGGTCGCCCTCCTGTTCTCTGTCTCTTCCCCCCTTTTCGGTGTGGAGTTATATAAGGACTTCGGAACTGAGGTTAGCGAAGAGCTCTCGGAGGTTTTCGGTGGGGTTTAGAGGGTACGGAAAAGTTAGGTGCCGTAATTCAGTTTCTCTTAACGGGGGGGGGAGGCTGAGCTGTGTTCTCGTGTCTTTTGTGCGTGAGTACGAGTAACGAGGTTAGGGTTAGTGCCTGTGCCTCTGTCCTCCGCTCTCTAGGTATGGAGACTTCGAGGGGACTTCTCCTGCCTTTCTGAGCTCAGAGTGTCCGAGTTTTGTGGGCTTCTGCTCTTTCTGACGTGGTACCTGTCCTCCGCGGAGGCGCGTGTCTTTTATGCGTGGGCGCGTCCCGTGGGAGGTAGAAGAGCCCTCCCAAGTGCGAGCGTTGTGGCGTTTCAAAAGGCTGGGTTGCTTCTGCCCGGAGAGGGAGCGCGGGGTAGTGGTGGTATCCACGGACCTTGAAACAAAGGAACAAGTTTCGAGGCTGCCTGGCTGGTGGCGCAGGGGACACACTGTTTCCTTTCGGCTTTGATCTTCCAACTACCGGGCTGGAACCCGTCGCTGGCGGGTGGAGGCGGCGTTGAAGTTTCGGAAGAAGAGGCAGCTTTCGGAGAGTATTTATCCAAGGAAACCCTCGCTGCTGTCGCGGCTTTCAGGGGAAGTGCTCTTTGATTGACAGCACGACATTTAAATACCCCCCATTTAACAAAAACAAGAGTCACGATGGAACTGGCGAGACGGTCTCATCTCCCTCTGCTGGCTTTCAGTGGGAAATTAATTTTAAAGGGGCAGACCCCGGAATTCAGATGTTGCGAGAGTGGGAGAGGAGGTCCTGGAACACCTTAAAAATAAATAAATAAAGCGAGCACTGAACAGGTCTGTAGCGGTGCCTTGGCTCCAGTCTCTATTGCGGTTGCATTGTTCACGGTTGCTACCGCTCTGACGAGCCCTCTTTCAGAATGCACCTTCACCGCTAGGTTTTGCATTTGTCTGCGACGGTAGAAAGGTGCATGCAACTCTACAATTTACGTGAATGTAGTGTTCAGGCTTCTGAACAGGTATGCGTGAGATGGTACTGTAAATTAATAGTTGCTGTATTGAGGAAATACGTACAGTAACATTTATTCTGAAAAGTGGTTCTTGGGTTAAAAAAAACATTCTTTAGTGTTTTTCTGCAAACTCATTATGGATGGGCATGAATAATATGAAACAGTTAATTATATGTAATTGGCATACATCCAATATGTATTTGAATGTAAGGGCAGCTACATTTAGTTGTGTACAGTTAAACTAAAATATTACCTGCAAGTTTTGGTGAAATTAGTGGAGTTTAATTCTGCATAAACATATGTAGGAATGTGTTCTAAGTAGCTTGTATATACGGTATTTTATTATGCGCGTTCACATATAATTAGCTCCTGAAATTAGAATAGCTGGCCAAGAAGAAAATTGCTGTTATTTCCATGCCATGTTTAAGTTTATATAACAAGGACTAATAATATTGCTGTCTACTAAATTTGTATTTCCAAAGTTATATAAAAATTTGTTAGATGCTTATTACATTTCTTGATGATTTCTTTCATTGCAATATACTCCCGTGCATATTAGCTGGAAACAAGTGTACCGTAATTGTAAACAATCATTTTCAAGTTAATGTATTTAAGTTCTCCCAAAGAGCTTATGACCTTTCCATGTTTAATATATGTCTTGTACTTATTGTAAATGTTTGCATTTTATGTTCATTTAATATTTCATAGATTTATCTACAATGCCTTAAACTGCTCTAAATTTTAACATTTTAGTTAGCTCTTCAACATGCAAATTGTTAGATTAGGCTAGGAATTGTACCTTTATTTCTTGACTAAGATATTTTATTCCACTCCTGTGTTATCTGCAGTAGAGATAGTTGCATCTAGCCTGTATGCAAGACAGAGGAAGACACATGCCTACTTAAAAAACCACGATGTATAAAGAATATTTACATATTTACAAATCTATTTTTTATTTAAATTACATTAATTGGCATATGTTTGCAGGTGGATCCCATGGTCATTTATTTATTTACTGTATTTTTCTCTGACTACTGTGTTATATGTCTATGTATAATATGCCACACAGTTGTTGTTACTGCTTGTTTAATCCAAAAGTCTGTTGAATATTGTATTTACAGAGTTCTTACACATGTTAGCATCAGGTTTAAAATAAGTGTAAGTGTAAATTAGTTTTGCTATTCCTGCAAGACATTTGTGCGTAATTTGATTTGTGAACTATCCAGAGTTTGGTTCAAGATGGGCAGGTCAGCTGTATAAATATTTTAAAAAAGATGAATAAATAAATTATTAGTATCAGATATTTAGTCCATAATGTAATATTGACAGAGTAATTAATCAAATCTGCAAAAAGTGAGAGTTTCACTTTAAGTAATAATTTTACCCATATCATGATCTCTATGACCCAGTGTTGCATACCACCATGCTATTTTTTTTTTTTTTAAGAAAACCTCCAACGTTTACTGGGCTTCAGGCATGAATGTTACTTGGTACATAAGATAAATTCATGTATGTACAGGTAGAAGTTTAAATTGAATTGTCTCACAGTATTTATATATTTATTAGATTTTTATCCAACCTTTATTACTTTAACTCAAGATAGCAAATTTACCTAATATTTTTTCCTCCTCTTTTCTCCACAATAACAGCCTTGTGAGATGGGTTGGGCTTAGAAAGAGTGAAGGACCCAACATCACCCAGTGATTTTCATACTTAAAACGGGAGTAGAACTTGCAATCTCCTGATTTTTAGGCCAATGCTTATACTAAATTGCCTCTCCATTTATTTATCCATTTCTGTTATTATTTATGAAGTCTATTGTTTGCATTGAACAATCATTTATCTTAGCATTATTCCTGGAAAATCTAATATCAGTTGGGAAGAATGCATACTGCCATTCATATACTTCATATGAATGAAAAATTATGTTTTCTCAAATAGTTCTTATTCTAAAATTTCGTTTGTGAAATAATCATGTGGTCCTTTTTTGTCTTAGCCTTTTTAGGTCTCTAGTAAAATTATGTGTAATTACTTTTTCTGCAATTAGCAAGCAGTCTAGATTATTTTCTAGTAGAATTAAACTGGGATTTTTAAAAATTTGTTAGCCTCTACAACTTCTTAATGCCATGTTATCTTACAGTCAAATAATATATAATTATTGGTTCTGTTTCATTTGTTGAAGTTTATTCCACATTAAAAATACAGAAAATGGCAACATAAAGATTTTAGCAAGAACTTGCATTTTGGGGTAGAGGAATAGTCTACTACATATGCCTACTTAAGTGGCAGTTGTTGTAGCCTCGGTATATTAGCACATACTTGACCATGCAACTGAGAATGGATTCTGACAAAATAGAAGGGCTTTATTAGACAGACTTATTCCAGAATGTGAACAGATAACCTACCCTATGAATGGTCACATTTATAATTCTAGATATATCTTTGTTGTTGTCCACAGTGCTAAGATATTTATTTCTAGTTTGCTAGCAAAGTGCTTTTTCTCATTTGGGGTATTAGATAACCTTTATTGTCAGGTGCAAGTAACCAGAAAGAGTTTAGTTCAAAATACTTCAAGCTTATTACTTGCTACCTATACACAATAATCAGATCTACTAACAATCAAGGTCAATTGGGTCTAGATAAGAGTCAATGGAATTCAGGGGGGTTGGTTTAAGTCTCCTGTAGGAGTATAGTGACTCCAAACTGATTATGCATTTGACCCCACTCTCAGGCTCAGCCTGGTCATCTTCTACAGATACCTGATGTCAGTGATCCTGCTTTAGTAATAAGTCTAAGTAACTACAGTAATAATGGTTATTGCCTTTGAAAACAGATGGCATTTTTAGTGGCTATAAAGCTTGGTTAATAATCAGGTTACAAGGCCAGAGATCTGTGACACTCAATTTGTTTAATCTGTACCTAATGCTTATAAGACTCTGAATGGTTTGGTGTAGATAGTTATTGAATCAATTTCATAACATAATGTTTTCTAGTTCTTTGGTAGACTAGTCTGAAAAGTAGATAGCACTATATAACAGCTTAAATAATAAAAAGGAATACAATATTTAACTGTGAATAGCTATTTCCTTTTTAAAGTTTGATTGGCATATTTACTGCTTGATTTATAACACACATACTATGGTAACAGAGAACACTGTGTTAACATCATTGATTCCCCAACTTGGCATTTTTGAGATGATAGTTTCCATTACTGTGGTCAACATAGGCATGATGATAGATTTAACTGAACAGTTTTGTAAGCACTACATTCAGAAAATATGAGTAACTCTTAAATGTACTTTGAAATCTATAGAATTTGGGAATGACTCCAAAATTCATTTAATCTCGCTAGTGTAGAAAATTCAGTATTTCTATTGTCTAGTCATGTGGCCCTCTAGCCTGGTAATAAACTCAGTCAAGAAGGTATTACAGGTAGTCCTTCACTTGCTGCCCAAAATCTCATTCATTGAGTGAGGTAGTTGTTAAGCAAGACACCATGGGACTGCTTTGCTCAACAACCACAATCTTTGCTCTCACAGTTGTGGTCATTAGGTGGGTTATCAAATGGAGTGCCAGGGAGAGGGCCCAGGCTTTCCCTGCCCCACCAAGGAGTATGATTGCAAGAACACTGGTTTTTGTAAGATTTCAGATCTATTCCTCCTGCTAGTGGAAGGATTTCTCCTCATTGAATGGATGGAAGGGGATACCCTCAGCACACTGGATGAATGATCCTC